AACTCATAATTATAATTTTAGCCAAAAAATCAGGAGGCAATTCCTGAAATTTCGTTGTGTAACTAGTACAAATTTAGCAGAAATTTATAATATGTAACACGATCCCCAACATTCTCAACGACACTGGTGCGGGTGCGAGCTAACCAAATTTGAGAAATCATCTGCAGATTTTTTTATGCAAATATACAACACAATTTGGTTAGATTAATTATTGCGATTTGCTGACCAGTTTTAGGTGAGTGGAAATTTCCTTTGTTTCTGAAAAGAAAAAAAGACTTCAAACCTTCAGCGTGAAATAACAAATATCTATTATAGAGTCAGAATCAATTTTGTAATCTAAATAATTAGCTTTTCAAAACTTGAGATTATATTATTTTTATTGCTGTTTTAAATTCAATGGTAGATTGTCCAGCAAAATAAATTTCAGTTGGGAAATTTTGTTGTTTTCGAAAGCAGTTTAGTTGTTAAATCACGAAAATCACTAACAAATAATCTTGTTTTTTAATCTTGGAATATATTCAGTAAGATGGTTGGTTACTTAAAAGAATTTTGAGCCAACATGTTGATTGATAAATGATAATACCCCTGTGATTATAAAGAACTAACTGTATTACCAAAAATAAATAAATAAATTTTTAATGACTTCATTAATAAAAATAACTTGTATGTTTTCCGGGGTCCTGCATATCAACGACTTACATAAGAAAATAAATTATTAAAAAAAAAATACTTTTTGAAAAATAATTAATAACCTATACATTCTCTTCTAAATAAAAATATTTATATATACACATAATAATATTTAAACGAGCTCTTTTATTTTTCCAAATATAAATTAAAAATGGCAGACCATCATCCAGAAAGTAATGGAATTCATATTGAGGCGCATCAACAACAAATAATACCTCAACAGCACCAGCAGCAACAAATAATACCCCAAGCTCAACAACATGTTAATGGAATTTCTACTGGTGGCATCAACTCAACGGATACAACTCCTACTAACAATAATATTAATACTAATACTAACGCTACTCATACTAATCCCAATAATAATAATAATAATAATAATAATAATAATAATAATAACAGTAACAATAATAATAATTCAGATTTAAATTTTTCAAGAGTTCCACAACATCACAACAATGAATCCTATGCCTCTAATCCTTATATTACTCCTCAAAATGAAGTACTTGACCATTCAAAACACGATCGTGAAATAGTTATTGAAGTGAGTCCAAATGGTAGATATGCAAAGGTAATAAAAAATAAATTTTATAATCCATATTGTATGTAATTAATGTTTTAATTTCTTTAAATAATATTATTTATTATTATTAACACATTGATCAATCATTAAATAGACGTATTTGATGTTTACGTTACTCGTAATAGAGAGAGAGTTTGGTTGATTGATTTTAATCCATTTGGATCTATGACAGATAGTATTTTATACTCGTGGGAAGAAATCTTGTCAGGTAGGTGATCTTAACTATCTTCAATTATTATTGGTTGATTATTATTGGTTGATCTATTAATTTATCCATTGTTGGTTGAAAATTATAAAATAGAAACATTATCTTCTTTGACATTATTTAGAATTGTAACCTCACAGATAGAAGCAAGCCAATTTCATAATCAAAATTTTTCAGTAAATAGATATCCACGAGAAGTCATTGATTTTTCACAAGGTCAAACTGTGATTGAATTTGCTGAAAGATTTCAACGTGAATTGGTAATAGCAGCAGAAAACAATGATGATGATAATGATGACGAATAAAAAGTAAATTATAATTTTTGGCTCTTTTTATTAAAGTATAGCTATGCCTATGGATGGGCAAAATGCAAAAATTTTGTTAAAAAAATATTATGTTTGCATTTATTATATTTATTATTTTACAACTTAGTAAGTTACATTAGAAACATAGAATCAAAGATATTTCATCAACAAAATTATTGATTGATGAATTTTTGATTAAATTATTTTTGTTCTGTTGGTAAATGA